TGTCATTACTGTTTGGCGGGCTTGGGCTGGATTTGAACCCGCCACCTTAGGTGTATGTGGCTGACGCCTTAGCCACTTGAGCCACAGGCGCCTTAGCCTGAACAATTGTTTATAACAGCAAGTGACTAACAATTTTGTGATTACACGTTTAAATATGTGTTTCTCTTACCTGCCTGTGAATTTTCTGAAGATGAAAATATATGTTATTAAGCTTTTTAGGCTCTATATCAGTGCTCCTAAAAATATATCACACCATAAGGGCCCTGTTTACACTCTAGGATTAGAAGAGGACCCTTCCTCAGAGGGCTAAGCAACTCATTTGTTTCTTCATCAAGAAAGCCTCCTTACTATGAAAAAAAAAGTCAAGCTAAATCACCCCTATGCTTAATGACATATCAGATTTACATTTTAGATCATGCTTTTTATCTTTGCTTGGACCAATAACTAGTAGTTCACAGACTGGCACTTGAGTGGCACTGATTTTGTCATTTACAGTCTCGTTTCTGGCGTGTATGAATGAACAGTCCCTAATAAGTCAGTAAGTGGACACTGAAGAAATAATGAAATTAATGAATCTTGAACGCTATTTGTTCAACAGCTACTGAAGCGCCAGGTACTGTGTTCACTGGGAATGCAAAGTTGGACAAACCGGTGAAAGCTCCTGCTCTCGGGGAATATACATTCTAGTAAACAATCAACCAACAATCCAATACAGTAATAATTTCAAATAGTGAGAAATGCCATGAAGAAATGAAACAGGTGATACTACATAGAGCTGGGGAGGTGAGGCTATTACTCAAAGTGTCTTTTATGGACCATTAGGTTTTCATCTCCTGGGCGCTTGCTTGAAATTCGGAATCTCAGGCCACACCCCAGAACCATGGAGTCAGAGTGTTGTATACCATGATGTGCAGGTGATCCTTATGCACAGATACAACTTGGGATATTGTTGTCAGGAAAGACGTTCCTGAAGAGGTGACAATTTAGCTGAGAATGGAATGATGAGAAAAACCAGCCATATAAAAAAAGATCTGGGAAAAGAGTAGTCTAAACAATGGGAACAGCAAAAGAAAACGTTCTGAGATAGGAATGAACAGGGGAAGACCAGTATGGGTGGAACAGAGTGAGAAAGGGACCTTGAACACTTTGCTATTTGACATTTATCGAAAACTCTATAATGAGAATTGATTTGGATGAAAAGTCCTACAGACAAGCCCTCTATTTCTACAAAGCAGAGGTACCAGATAAGTTTCTGTGTGCAGCCACTTTAGCCATCCTGCACTCACAACATTAATTGATAACAGAACTTTTTCCTTTTGAGCCTGGACAAAGCCCCAAACCTCAACATAGTTATTCAGGCTGCTACCATGGATAGTCCAGGCTTGACATCTGAGTTGAAACCTCTTCACCATCCCAGGGAAGATTATTTAAATACCACCCTGTATCAACACAGACCATTAAAGGCCTGAATACTCAAATGAAGAGAAAAGTTTTGATGGTTCACAGAATTAATTTAATGCACTGGGCTTCGGGGGTTTTTTTTGGTTTTTTGTTTTATTTTTAGACAGAGTCTCACTCTGCCACCCTGGGTTGAGTGCAATGACATCATCATAGCTCACAGAAACCTCAAACTCTTAGGCTCAAGCAATCCTCCTGCCTCAGCCTCCTGAGTAGCTGGGGCTACAGGCACCCACCAGGATGCCCAGCTAATTCTTTCTATTTTTAGTAGAGATGAGGTTTTGCTCTTGCTCAGGCTAGTCTGGAACTCCTGAGCTCAAGCAATCCACCCACCTCAGCCTCCCAGAGTGTTAGGGTTATGGGTGTGAGCCACCGTGCCAGGCCTAATTTAATGCACTGGGCTTTGTTATTGTAACCACAGTTTCCACTGAGGGGATCTGGGTGTAATTTCTCATGACATTTAGCCCCCACTCAGCTCACTACATCATCTTTATGAGAAAATGAGATTTCTCTCAGGACTAAAATTCAAGAAAACAGTGTTTCTATAAAAGCAAAACAGAGAAAACCAGTTTTTTTTTTGTTTTTTTTTTTTTAATGTGAGCACTGGAAACCTAAAAAGGATAGCTATTTTCTCTTTTCTTTGGCTATTCAAAAGGTTAGGGTCAAATTTCTGGCCTGCCTGTGACAAACGTTCCGGATCCACTAGAGTGTATTCTTAAATGTTAATATTAGCCTTGGCCACATGACTGTATTCTCCTTCCATTAACCCCCCCCTTCCTTCCACTATTTCTTTTATCTTGTAATGTCTATATTTTAGTAAGCTGCCTCAAATCATTTGGGGGAAGAAGGTGAGGTAGAACTACCTGCATAAAAATTAACTCACTCCTTTATACAGGCTGAATTGGGAGCAATTTCTTTGAGTCTATTTTTCAGGCAAAAGAATGACTGACAGTTGAAACATTTTATAAATGAGGCAGAGTTCTCAGGGTCAGAGTAAGCTTGATAAAATTGTTCTGTTGAAACTTGTTCTTTTCTCTGTGTCCCTTCTGGTGCAACATTTTGAATATTCTCATTGTCTTCAAGCCAGAAACGAAATGGAGGATGGGAAGAGAAGAAAAAAGAAGTGGTATGTAATCACAAAATCTTTATCGCTGGCGTACAAAGAAGCAAAGTGGCAAGTTTTGCTTTTGCAAAGGGAGGAAATTATATCTTTCTATACATGTGGAAAAGGGTAGATATTCGATGAAGATTTACTGAGAATTTCTTGTGTAAAGAAATGTACTAAGTACTATAGAAGTGGATTGTTACGTTTGCTACCCTAATATTCCTAATAATGGGATCAAGAAGACCTGGGATTACCAAGTCCTTTTCCACCCTTGCCCTATCTTCCCTAACTTTCTCATCATTTCTTGTCACGTGCGAACCCAAGTTGGGACAACTTCAGACTGTAAGTTCCTTGAAGTTTGTTTTATTTGTGAGGAGACCAGGTACTCAATAAATGTGACTCGAATAGTCAGAGATTCATGGACAGGGGAAGAAAACTGGTTATAACCTTTTCTCATTTTTGAAGTGAAACCAGAGTGGCAACGGAAGGAGCAAGGACAGAAGAGCAATCTCAGAGCATAGGACTGCAACCTGAGTTTCAGTCTAAGTGGGGGTGATACCTTGACAGGCCCTAGACAGCAAGAGGGCATTGGGTGCCCAGGAAAGGTCATCAAGAGGAGGCATCAGGAAGTGGAGGGATTCTGTTTACTCCACTCATCTGCCTAGCATTTCAGGTGGGCTAAGGAGTTAGAAGGAACACGGGTCCACAGCAAGAAACTCTGGTATGTTAGAGAAAACAACTGTTTTCAGCACATCAAGTCGCGGTGTTTGGAAATGGAAAGAACCTGATGAAAGTAATCTTTTAGATGAGGCTCTGAAGACTGCAGTCAGATTTCGCTCCTGCGGGCGCAGGGAGAGCAAGGTGATGGTCTGGGAAAGAGTTAGGGTTATAGCGCGACCACAGCTGAGCTCAGAGGAATGACGCAGGGTGGAGAGACAAGCCCAAGCCGAGAGCAAAGGCGTGGCTAGGACGGAGAAGAGGTGTGGCCAATGTGGAGGGCAGAGGCTGGCGGGGTCTGGTGGGGCGTGACCAAGGCGGTCTGTACCCACGGAGCGCAGTTGTCAGGTGGGGGTGTGGCCCGTGCTGTGGGGCGGGGCGCAAAGGGGCGTGGTTATAATGGCCCGGAGCGTGGACTGCGGTCCCGGGAGGCGAGCTAGCAGCTGGTTAGTGATCTGGGGAAATTCAGGTAAGGACCAACGGCTAAATGGGGTGGGGGCAACATCAGGGGCAGGCCGACCCAGACAGGGCCGTGGCCCTCCCCAAGGCACCTTGCTCCAGGTCCTGGAGCCCGGACAGCTATCAGTCCTGCGAGTATTGCCTGGGTTCCCCGGGGCGCCTCAGAGGACGGGGTGGGGCCCTAACGGGACATCGGCTTCCCTCATCCCACCCCTATTCTTATACTATGGGAGTCACTAGACAGATGCACTTCCTTTAGGGTTCTTTGCACTTGATCAGAGAACAGCTGCTCCAGACAGTTTATGGGGGCCGGGAGGGCAGCTTCTTGGGAAGGGATGTTGCCAGGGTTGGTTGAATCTAAATAACTCAGAAAGTCCAGCCTCCTGTAAAATAGCTGAAGACAGGGTAAAGACTACAAATCTAAGGTAGTAGTTCCAGAAACCGAGGTGCAGTAAACTTCTACATAGTAGCTCTCCCCATCCCGCTAACTACCCACCGGGCTGTGGACAGACTCACAGCCACCTTCAGGGCAGGGGATCAGCATCAGAGCTGTGCCTTTTGGACAAATCTGAGCTTTCTTCTCTCCGCAGTTCCTTCTTCCGGCTTTCTTCCTTTGTGCTCCGTCCTAAAGCTGGAGGAGAGGAGCCTCCAAAATACAATGTTGGTGGCTGTGATCCTTTGTGGCATTTCTTGTTAAATGCTTCTTCCCTGAGGCTGGTGGCAACTTGTTAATATTAATGTCAGTGCCCTCCCTGGTGTTTTCTCTGGGAAAGTTTGAGAAATACCGTAAGTTAATGTATACACCTTAGCTTGTCTAGAACTTGTTCTCTCTCAGCCACTGAAAACTACATTGCTTTCTGCTTCCCTTCTTCCTTTACTGTAATCTGGCCATCTCCACTCTGCTGTTTAAAACCCTTCCTGGAATATGGAGAAGAGAAAACCTATTTCTCTGGCTAGAGAAGCTGCTGCAGACCCTGCTCCTGAGCCGTCATCTCTCTGAGTGGCCCTGTTCTCAGATATGTTGGAAGTGGAAAACCTTTCCAATTTCTAGGACTTTCCACTTTTACTCAGGTATCTTTTGACCATGGTACCAGGACTCAAATTCACCAGCCCCAAGAAGCAAGGTACCACCATTCTTTGTGTCTGTGCATACCTGCCCTATTCTTGGAATTTACTGCTCACAGTTGGAAGGCAATAAAAGTTGAGTAAATTGTGAGTGAATGAGTGGATGTGAATATTTTAGATATTTGATGGAAAGGGGATGATGCATTTCAACTCACTGGCCTCACCAGGCAATTAGTTGCAGCACACAGAGCAGTTATTAGAAATATATTTTGAATGCGGGCTGGTGGCTCAGACCAGTAATCCCAGCACTCTAGGCAGCCGAGGCAGGTGGATTGCTTAGGCTCATGAGTTCAAGACCAGCCTGAGCAAGAGCAAGAACCCATCTCTAAAAAGAGCTGGGCGTTGTAGCAGGCACCTGTAGTCCCAGCTACTTGGGAGGCTGAGGCAGGAGGATCACTGGAGCCCAAGAGTTTGAGGTTGTGAGCTCAAACTAGGGCTACAAAATGAGACTCTGTCTTGAAAAAATAAAATAAGTAAATAAATAAATAAATAAATAAAAATAGCCAGGCATTGTGGTGGGTGCCTTGTAGCCTCAGCTACTTGGGAGGCTGAGGCAAGAGGATTGCTTGAGCCCAAGAGTTTGAGGTTGCTGCGAGCTATAACACCATGACATTCTATCCAGGGTGACTGAGTGAGACTCTGTCTCAAAAAAAAAAAAAAAAGAAAAGAAAAAAGAAAGCAAGAAAAAGAAATATATTTTGAAACCTTTAGCTACCTCAGATTGGGATCATGCATCCAGGGAAGAAGTGGGTGAGAGGAGGAAGCTAAGCTTTTCAGTCAAGATATGGCAACCTAACCTCTAATTTAGATTTCAGGGGATTGCAAAAGGCATGTTTTCTTTTGAAATCAGAGAAAAGAAAGGTTCAATCTGTTGAGAATCCAAAAATTGCTTATAATGTAATTGTAACCTTTGGTCAAAGAACATTTTTGTGCTCTCAATTTTGCATAAATATAAATGGCTTAATCACGCAGAGTTCAAACTATTTGTCATTTAATAAATATGTGATTTATGAATGATTCATTAAAGGTTTTCAGAATCTTTCCACATATTTCTAAGTCTACAAAAGAGCAGATAAGGGGCAGGTTAGTAAAATCCGAGTATATACGTACATAATCAGTGAGAGCAAAGGGCATATAGCCCAGAAAGCTCCTCTTTGGCCTTTGGAGCCCCTGGGCCCTTATCTGTGGACAGATTCCCCAGGAAATATAGTAATTTGTAGTTCATGGTTGTGTGCTATGTTTGATGGTTAAATGTTATTTTTGGTTTCACAAGCTTACATTTTGTGATTTCAGTAAGTTTAAATAACCAAGTCTAATTGGCCTTGAGTCTGCGCATAAATAACCTCATGTATTGTTAGCTATAATATAACCTAGCCTTAGCTAAAGTGAGTTTCCATTTTCCTGGTACCCTCCTCACCTCACTTTCCGTTCTCCATTCCTTCCTCCTTGTCCTCAACTGTTCGTTCTCCATTCCTCCCTCCATTGTCCTTGACTGTTCATTCTCAGTTTCTTGGCACCCTAATTTCTCCTTTTTGTCAACCTCCCTCCATACATCTGTAACTCCTGGGAATGGTGGTGGATTTTCCTTTTGTCTCTGGCTTGTGACTGCTCAGGCAGCACCAGAGGTGCAATGCCACCTCTGTCCTAGATGGTTTCTCTGGGCTGTCCCTTTGGCACCTCAAATCCAACATGATTAGCAGTGAGACCATCATCTTTCCTTTTCCTGTTTCTCATGCTGGGTTCTGTTTCTCGGTTCAGGGGTTCATCCTCCTTCTACCACCAGCATCGCTCCAGCCCTAAAATCATGAGGCTCTTTCTACTCCTTTGGTTGAGTACCAAATCCAATGTTTTTGTAAAATCAAAATGACTGTCTCTTTTTAAAAATATCTATTTCTTGAAGACAAAGTACCTTTGTCTATCTCTATAGTCCTGCCCAGTTAGTAATTCATATTCTCTCACTTAGATTATTATTATTTTTTATTGAATGGTAACTATGTACATTAATGCACTTCTGGGGTACAGTGTGGGGTTTTCACACACAATCCAAAACACTTCCATCAAACTGGTTAAC